CTCAGAAATATGAATTTTGTTCATTGTCCACACCCAGGTTAAAAAAGTTCATTTTTTTTTCATCTGTCCTTATGAAAAGCTACTGCAAAAACAAAATAAAAAAAACATAAAAAATAAAAAATCTTGTTGACAATTAAGTATGTAATAAATCTAAGTGAACACCGTTTTTCTGATAAATCTAATGAAACATCCAATATCCAATAACCTAGAAATATAAATTCTCTTAAAAATCCTGGGAAACATCCTTTCTTTCTTATTCTAATTATAAAACATCCAGTCTGATGAATCTAGTTTAATTTATCATTTATACTAAAACAATTATGACATAAGTTCTATCAACTTGCTGATTATAGACCAGAACCAGAGCTTAATCACTCGTGTTGGTCTGTGGTAGCGTGCAAGGGAAAATGTGCGATGAAATCATTAATATTTTCATCGTTTAGTTCCAAAATGTTTTTATGGATGCTCGACCGTGGTCGGATTTTTTTTTTTCATGGTTAATTAATCGATTAATTTGTTTTGTTTTTAATGTTTTTGAAATGTTGAGTTTTCAGCAATTTTGTTTCTACTTTTATTACAACATATGGATATTGAATCCAATCCTGGCCCGAGGATTGACGAGCTTTCGATATTTGACCTTATTAAATTTGTTAATTTTTGTTAGGAATGAATTGGAATATATCGAAGATATAGCCGGTGAATATCTACAGATGGCTTACTTATAGCTGGATTGAACTTTGCTGGTGGAGATGTTCTGGTCTACTGGTAACTGGTGATTTAAATGACGACTTATTAACTGCATCTTCTAACCATGTGTATTTTTTGTATATTATGAATTATTTTAGTAAAACCAATGTTATAAATGAATCTACTCGTATCGGACCGACTAGATCCAGCCTACTCGACCCTATTCTTTTAACTCAATCACTTTCCTGTATTGATTCTTCTGTGGTATCAGTTGATAAATCTTTTAGTGACCATGATGGTTGTACTGCTTATATCATAATTGCTTGTGCTTTTAAATCCATTTATAAGCATAAACTTTGGCTGTATAAGAGGGCAGACTTTCAATTGTTTAACAATCTTATTTCTAATTATAAGTGGATCCATCTTTTCCCAACTTGCTACTCCGTTGATATTGCCTGTGAGCGTTTTACTGATGTTTTTCTAAATTTTGCTAATGTATGTATTGCATCTAAAGTGGTCACTTTAGGACCAAATGACAAACCTTAGATGACCTCCGAACTAAGAAAAAATTAAGAATTCGAGATAGGTTGCACAAAATCGCGAGGTTAACCAAGCTTTTTTCGGATTTTATAAATTTAAGTCTCAACGTAATAAGGTTAACAACATGAAAAAAAAAACATGCCCGTTTTATATTATATGAAAATGTTCAAGGTATGATTGAAGAGTATTCATCCTCTGATCCAAAATCTTAAACGGTTAATGAAATCAACTGGTACTTAACAATCTATACCTACACTTGTAGATCCTCATACTAACAATACTGTTACTAATGACGAAGATAAAGCTGACTTATCAAACGACTATTTTTGTAATAGTACACGAGTAGATGATACTAATAACACTGTGGGTCTTAGCGTTGAGCCAAAAACTGACAAAACGTTTAATTCTATTAGAGTAAATAGTAATGAAATTCGAGACGTTCTACAGATATTGAAGCTCCGGGCAAGGCCTCGGGTGAGGATGGAATCAGCCATCATATGTTAAGAAATGCCTCACAGTCTGTTTGTTTTCCACTTGAAATTATTTTTAATATGTCTTGATCGGCAGGTATTTTTTTAACCGCTTGGAAAATAGCCAGTCATGCCATTGTTTAAAAAAGATGACAGGCATTCTCCATCTAACTTTAGGCCAATTTCACTTTTATCTACTGTTGGAAACGTTTTTGAGTAATCTTCAAACACCTACATAATTATCTTTTTAGAAAACTCATTGTTTTATAAGTACCAGTCTGATTTTATTCATGCTCATTCTACTGTATATCAGCTCATTGAAATTTATCACAACATTTGTATTGCTCTTGAAGAAGAAAAAACATGTATGTATGGTATTTAGTGACATTTCCAAGACTTTTGATCGGGTTTGGCATAAGGGTTTGATGGTTAAGTTAAAATCTAACGGCATTGTTGGTGAGTAATATACCTGGTTAGAAAATCGTTTATTTCATAGGCAACAGAAAGTTTTCTTACATATTTCTTATTCTCAATTAGGTTTGAACGAAGCAGTGGTTACTCAAGGTTCAATTCTTGGACCGCTTTTGTTTTTAATATACATTAATGATATTGCCGATATTGAATCAGCTACTCGCCTTTTTGCAGATGATACCTCTTTATTACAGTCTTCTTCATCTTGTCATGAATTCTAAACAGTATTGAATGGGGATCTTGAGTCTTTAAACTTAAACCTAAACTCTTGGTAACATTTAATCCTTACAAAACTGAGGTAATATTTATTTCTAATTCTATTGACATAGATGAAGATTTAGATTTGAAAATTGATGAAAAAAATAATTTACGGACCATCATAGGCATATAGGAGTAGTTTTTAATTCAAGCACAAAGTGGGGGATCATATTAATGCCTTTCATAGCTCAGTTATGAAGAAAATTAACGTCTTACGAAGATTGAAATACTTGCTAAATAGGAATAGTCTTTTAAAAATGTATAAATCATTCATTTGATCAATTGCTTGAATTATATCCGGCCTTCCTTCGTATGCCAGTATTGAAAATTTACATTTTGAAACAGGTTGAGAAACTCTTTCTAATCTTCGAAAACGTAGAAAACTTCAACCTTTTATATAAAATGCACAACGACCTAACTCCAGATTATTAAACCGATCTCTTACAAATCTTTTCTTTATACCTTCCACTCTTCGGAGCTGGAACTCGATAGCTCTATCAGTACCATCGTTGCCTTCTATACATTTATTTAAAAACTCAATGTACAACCATCCCCTCCTATCTACTTCAGTTTTGGAGAACGTAAATTGAATACTATACATACTCAACTCAACTGAGGCACAATTGCAGTTCTCTTAAGTATGACCTTTACAGGGTTAATCTTGTCGAAAGTCTATTTTGCATCTGTGGACATCCATGTGAGAATGCCTTTCACTTTTTCTTTGAGTGTTAACTATTTAGCAATGTAAGGCGTATTTTGTTTCAAATTTTGAATGCCTTAGGTATAGATTTAAATTTAGAGCTTCTTTTGTAAGGCAGTTCAGATCTTTCGGTGGACCTTAGCTCTTACGTTTTTAGACATGTCTTCTTCTCTGCTTCTTAGCTGTACAAGGGATCCATAGATGGTGATGTTTATGCTCTTGGGACCCTGTGCAGAGGCGTGAAAAAGGGGATTATTTACAGTGATTAGTTTTTTGTTTTTTTTTGTTTTTGTGTGTGCAGGGTATAAGATAAAAGTTAAAAGCTGGCGTATGTACTAGCGTATGATGAGGGCTTCAAGGGCTGCATAGGGTTTGTATGCCTTGAAGTCCTCGAGTGTTGTGGATTGTACTGCTGCTATGGGAAGGAGATTCCATTGTGTTATTGTATGTGGGAAGAATGAATGTGTGTTTGTATGCGTAAGGGTGTGCATGTCTGATTCGAGGGTCTACGGGTGTGAGTACATATGTTGGGTTTATTGCTACGAGTTGGTGAACTATTTTATAAAAAAGTATTATTTTTGTGTGAAGGCTTCGTGTTTGTAGTGTTGGCCATTGTAGTTTGTGGGTCATATCTGTTACTGAGATGGTGTAGTGGTATTTGTTGTTTACGTAGCGTGCTGCTTTTCGTTGTGTTTTTTTTCTATTTGTTGTATTTGGTTTGTGTTGTGTGTGTCCCAAATAGAAGAGCAGTATTCAAGTTTTGGTCTGACTAGTGCTTTTATATCTGGTGAGTTTCTTTTTAGTTTGCGTTTGAGAAAACCTAGGGACCTAATGGCATTGGCTGTGATGTTGTTTATATGTTTGTCCCATCGTAAGTTATTTGTAATGTTAAGCCCAGGTAATTGCTGGATTCTACTTGGTGTAATGTGTGGTTGTGGAGTTTGTAGTCATGGTGTATTTTGTTGCGTTTCGGTGTAATATTGAGTATGTTGCATAATTTGTCAGGGTGAAATTTCATTTGCCAGTCTTTCTCCCATTGTCCTGCTGCGTCAAGGTCATGTTGCAGTTTTAGTGTGTCTTCTTTGTTGTTTATCGTCTGCAAAGAGTCTCGGTGTACTGTATTGTATGCGTGTGTGTTCGATGTTCCCTGTTGTCCCGTAATATATTTGAGTTTGTATTGTAATCGTTTTTGTGGGACTCTGTCAAAAGCTTTGGCAAAGTCCATTGTGCATTACATCAATAATCCAGCAAAAGATTTTGAACGCTGTTTTTTTAAAGTTGTTGTATTTGTACCTGTGTGAATATTATATATATCTACTTCATGTTTATGCCTATTAACATTGTTGAAATGTAATTATAAATGTATGACGGGAGTAGGCTGCGATAAGTTGTAATAACTTGTGCCCAATCCCTTGTTCAATTTTATTGGCAATAAATATGTTATGCGTGCAGGGATTCTTAATGTGAGAGAAAATCCACGTGGTCGAACAGGTGACCCTGCCCATACCTTATCACGTCCAATTGGGTAATCTTACCCCAGTTGTCTTTCTGAAAGGCTTATAAATGCAGAAATGCAACCACTAATAAATTAAGAGAAAGATCAACTTAATTCCAACAATTAAATTTATGAAACATCACAGGCTGCTCTAAAAAGATTATAAACGTATCCATTTGTTCTTGAAGTCATTCATCTAAATTTGATATGTAGCGTTGATGATGACGAGGATGGATAATAAACTTGAAAAAAAACCCAGAAAGGTACAAAAATCTCCCCATGACATTAACCCGGTAGCGCATTTTTATATTATATAGGTCGTGATGCGATCATAATTACAGTCTTTTAAACGTTTGCATAGACAGGTAATTGCCTCAAGCGTTGTATTAACCATGAATTACTATTTAAAATGGCGGATTTAGATGAGAAGAAAGGAGTATCTGACGCAGATTTGAACGGCTCTATCTTACATCAGAACCCTCGAGTTTCCATACAGATGCCGTACCAAGATTCACATAAAGATGAAGAATCAAAAGACAGGAATATTGGCTCCGATATACTGCCTGATATCGGCGAACACTACCTTGTTCAGCGATCCGATGGAACATGGCGTATGTTTGTGGTGTACTTTGTTGTTCACAAAATGCGTGTATGGAACAGAGGATGTTTTAACGTGTTCATCATGTACATGTATGGTGGTCGGATGTCTCGTTGGTTTTATTTTAGCATAAACAAACTACATGTTTATTGGAAGACACTAACTATTCAATTTTCAGGTTGTAAATAGATTGCTATGGCCGTACTGGTCTGCCACCGCGACTACTCCAACAATGTTAGAGGTTTTACACGGCGAGAAACTTTAACAGGCGCCATGTAACCTCTAACTGCCCATGGCTGATTTTCCCGATGCTGACGATCAAATTTTCAAAGTTCGGATTTAGAAAAAAAGTATAATGTCTTCACAAACGTTTAAATGTTTAAATGTTTAAATAAGTTTGTCCTCTTTCAAAGTGAAGCAGACAACATTTGCAATGATTTTCCGGTTAACACAAAAATGGAATAATGTGATGTTTAACAAGCGGAATACAAACAAGCTCCATATCGTTTCGTTCTGTTTGAAGTTCTCCCTGCTATTTTGTACTAACCCTAACTTACCTAACTTATAAATAAGCCTTGAGTGGATAGCATATCTACAGGAAACCGGCGTTTCCAGAAACAGAACTCGCTTTCAAATTGTACCACACCGGTTAACCAATCTTGAGTATCGTCGTTAATCATTGTTATCACGCCATAATACTAGCTCATGATTGCCAAATGAAGTACAGTGTATTGTTTGGTACAAACTTTGCTACATCTAAGTCTAAATGAAATGATAATGTAGAAAGTACATGTATGTTAAAATCAGTTTGCCCCATCCCATAATATACATGTATTTATATTATTTACAACAGGTGTATATGCAAATTAAGTCAGAAAGGACTTAAGTTGTCCGCATAGGGAAATTGCTGAAAATAATGGAGTAAAAATATGAAGAAGACCACATCAAGCAACATTATCATGCATAAAAATAATATGTACATTAAATTTTTTGAAGAAACTTGTAACATGTATACATGTATTAATCATTTGCAAAACACTTTAAAGCATTATGATAATGCACATATGAGTATCTTTTTAATGTTTAACTACCAATACAATACACCTTGTCTGTTTAACACGAGCTTCATGAGAGAAGAAACCTATGGTAGAAATATGTGAAGTTATATATATTTTATCACATTTTAATTTTCTCCTTGAACAAATGCTTATGCTATTTCAGAAAAGAGATCAATGTTAAACTATTCTCAATATATTATTCATTCTGTTTCAGATGCTGCAGAAATTATTCAGACACGTGCCAATGAACAGACTGGTGGGAGGCATGAATTTTATGTCCACTATGAAGGATGTAAGGATACAAAAAAAATCATAACATTAATGCATAATATGTAGGGGCTAGTGAAAAAATTGAATATTTACAATGAAACTATAGGTCATTCTAGTAAAAAAAAAAAAAATCTACCAACAGGCTACTACTTTTAAGTGTGAATTTCCAGTAGAAGGAACTTTCTCTCCTTGAAAGTCATCCTACAGAAGACATATGAAAAGTTAAAGATCTGCATGCATATATACATGTATACCTAGTATATTATGTTGAATTAAGCACTTTTTGTCAGTTAACACAGAGGGAACACAGGGCTTTTTCTAATGGATTTTTTGTGGCTGATAATATTAATGTGCCCCATTCTCACTGTAAACTAATTTAACATTTATGCCAAATTCTCAAAATGTGCAGTTTATTTCTGAGAAATACCTTTCCAATTGGTATACATGTATTTTCTTTCCTAAATGAAACAAAAAGACGATTACAAAATTATCGAAAAAATACCTGGTACATGTAATGTATGTTTAAGGGTTGAGTCCTGTTCTGTTGAGGTTTATGGGGTACTGGTATAAAACTCAATTGGTCGTGAGACAAATTTAAATCAAATTTATCTCAAGACCAATGAGCTTTATGCCCCATAAACCTCAACACAAAAAGGACTTCATATGTAATATTGATTCATTAGTAAGCCTACTTACACAAGATCTACAATAACAAAATAACAAAATAAAAAACTGACACAGTGGAAGGAAATCTAGCTAGTGCTGAGCACAGCATCTACTACACATGCTTTTATCAGAAAACAAAAAACCAGTAAGAGTTTCTTTCATCTTCAGTCATTGCATCAAAATGCATTCTAATATTGCTGTTAGTTTTTAATTTCAAACTTGACAAGAGAAATACTCTTTTCAAATCAAATATCAATATGTTTCAAGTATAAACACTTTTCTTTCTTAAAAGTGTGTGGAACTGGAAAAAAAAGTTTGCCAGTTTCACAAATGTTTCTTTTCAATTTCCAACAGTTAACAGGCGTTTGGATGAATGGGTAGAGATTGACAAGTTTGACTTGATAACAAAGATTGAGGATCCACATAACAACAAAATGAAAGACGTCTCCATCATTATGACTGACCTTAGTGATGGCACCGACAGGAAAATTACACGCAACCAGAAACGAAAACATGACGAGATTAATCACGTTCAAAAGGTATGGGAAATATTATACATCCTTTTAGTGTGTAACTTTTTAGAACTTGTAAGTTCTTCTTAGAACCTTAATATATAAGGTAATGATATAAGACCTGTAATGAATGGATGAATGTATATTAATATTGTCAAATAAATGACCTTGACCCCACATTTACATTGTATAATGATCCCTACAACCAATATGTCTAGTTCTGTATTTTACCTGTATATGTAAAGACGGAAATCAAAAATTAACAAGATTGTTTAAATCAAATATGAAATCCAAAATAATTGTCAATGAATTTTTGATTAGTTGTAAGGTCTCATCCCCTTTTTTTTTCTAATAATTTCATTATCAAATATATTAGCCTGTGTAATACTATATAATAACAGGTGGGTTATATAGGTCATTTGAGCCTCTTGCTTTGAGGTTGAGGTCATCGCATGCTGAAACATGCAGTGTTGATTGGTTTAGCAAAAATATGGCTGCGATTCAAGCCAATCACACCAGGGGTCTCGGCACGGTCGTGCATTTTTCCGCTCCTGTTACAGTGGTGCCTGTGACCAACCCTTGTTTCAAGCATTGGGTGTATGCTTGGCAAGGGGATACCTGAACTTGGGTTGTAAATTGTTGTGTCTTCGGGGGGCGAATACTTAGAAATATCAAATATATTAGCCTATGTAATACCATATAATAACAGGTGGGTTATATAGGTCATTTGAGCCTGTTGCTTAGTCTATTGACTTGCGCAGATAAAAGAGACATAAGGAATATTCAGTCAATTTAAGAGCCCATTTTGAAAGATAAGTATGTATGTTATTTTAATATGTAGAGAAAAATCTTATCAGCGACTTTGAGCAATACTGCAGTGGATATTTTTATATAATGACGTTTGAAAACAAGTACATGATACTGGTTAAATATATTTTATTATGATTCAAACTAATTTGATGTTGTATTTGTCTTGACTAGACCTATGCTGAAATGGATCCAACAACTGCCGCCCTAGAAAAGGAACACGAAGCTGTAAGTAATCAGACAAAAACAATTAACTAGGTCATGAATTATAAAGTGTCTTATATATACCTGATTTCTTCTGATAAAATGTAGGAAGTAAGTTTGTTGGTACAATGTGGTTTCTGTGATGAAATAGCTTTGAGATAGAAAAGGATGAAAAAGAATTGTACTACATTCTACTACCATAACAAAATATTTAGCATGGCACAAATATATAATGTTACGGAATCTGTGACTTTATGCTATTGAGTGCCTTTTCTTTCTGTTTTGTTGATTTTAGATCACAAAAGTGAAATACATAGACAAGATTCAGATTGGCCGGTATGAAATAGACGCCTGGTATTTCTCACCCTACCCTGAAGAATACGGCAAACAGTCAAAGCTGTGGCTGTGCGAATATTGTTTAAAGTATATGAGACTAGAAAAATCCTACAGATACCATCAGGTAAGATACATAACTCAGAGACATTAAAGGAAAATTTCAAGTATTGGAATCATCTTCTTTATTTCAATCTTTTGGAAATTTTCTCTTTCAAGTTAGTTTATAAGCCTGGAAATTTCTCAAACCTTTTTAAAATTAGGACATGATGAAAACAATACTCCTTAGATATTGGATAAATTTTTTTTTATCATCAAAAGGCTGATTCATGAAATTTTGTGAAATACAGTACTAGATATCACCACATGTAAATTTCTTGTACATAGGATATAAATTTGATCATGTTACTGATTTTAATAAAAGACATTTTAACATTTCAATCAATACTACAATGTATTGCACACAGTCTGCTGAATTAAGCAATAGCCTCTGAATGATTAAGAAATTTAAGATTCAAGAAGCTAATTACAAGAGATGAAAAAAAGAGTAGAGGTAAACAATTTTTTTTTTTTTATTGTTTTGTTAACAACTTTACATTAAATTGATTCCTGTCTTTTTAGAGTCAATGTATTCATCGACATCCATCAGGAAAAGAGATCTACAGAAAAGGAACCATATCTGTGTTCGAAGTGGATGGGAAAGACAGCAAGGTAAACAACTGTAGTATGATCTATACTGTGTTCCTGTACCTAAACTGGACTGGAACTTCCACCACCCTCCATCCACTGAAACGATAACTATAAAATTAGAAAATCATGATTACCCCCTCCCAAAATTGTGTAACTGTTAAAGCCAAACATTCTTTATCCATTAAATATTAATTATTTTGTTTTAATTAAAAATGGGTACCCACTAATTAGGGCCCCGCTTTCGATGTGGGTGCCCTATAGTAATCGGGTTGTCCGTCGGTCTGTCTGCCTGTTTTTGTTCTTTTGCACAATATTGATGGAAGTAAATGGAGTATGTTTTTAAAATTTTACATGATGATTTCCCATTTATCCTAGTTCTGCTTGGTAATTTTTCGGGCAATTCGGATTCAAAATGGCTGCTAATCAGCCATCTTGGATTTTAACACAAAAAAACAACAACAAGAAGTCAACTGATCGAAGGTCAAGGTCATCGGATCAAAGGTCCAGGTCAGATTTTGTATCTTTTAACTGCTTAACATTTTGTTTTGACATTATGAATCAAAGTTGGTCACAATCATACAAGGAGTCAATTGATCAAAGATCACTGGGTCAAAGGTCAAGGTCAAATTTTGTATCTTTTCCCTGATGAACATTTTGTTATTTATGACATTGTGACCAAAGTTGGTCAGAATTTAACAAAGAGTCAACTGACTTAAGGTCAAGGTTACTGGGTCAAAGGTCAAGGTCAAATTTAATATCTTTTCACTGATGAACATTTTGATATGTTATTATGAAGCAAAGTTGGTCGGAATTGAAAAATAAGTGAACTGACCAAAGATCGGGATCACTGGGTGAAAGGTCAAGGTCATTTGGGTCCAAAGGTCAAAGACAAAGTGGATCTCTGACTTTGACCCTGGCTCTTGATGGGGGAGGTTTTTAAGGTGAAATAAAATGAATCAAAACTAACAAATGAGTATTGCACCGGTATTTACATTTCTGTTAGCCCAGCAAATATGGAGGGGGAAGGAAACAAGACTCACATCATAGTACATGTAAAATGTATATTTTGCTTCCTTGTGATTTTTTTAAATTTCCAAATGTCAAACGTCAAACTCAGCTATATGGGCAGATTTCTTCTTGATGATTATGTGGGATATATTGCCACAAGACGGGGCCCTTACTGACCTGTCAGTGTTCTAGTATTAAGCAGTTTTTCACAATAGAAAGTGACTTTGAAGTTCATCTTATTAGCGACATTCAATTTAAAAATGGCATCACTATTAAAGAAAAGTTGATTTGATTCATAACTCAGTCTTATTGACCTTTCACGAGTGGGAGACATTTTTAATTGGAATGGCTCTTTTGTTATGGTTTTTAGCTCGACTATTCGAAGAATAGGGGGGCTAATGTAGTCACGCCGGCGTCGACGTCCCACCTTCCGAGGTTAAAGTTTTGGTGCAAGTTTTTTCCAGAAATTGTTGGATCATCACACTCAATACACAGTTGTCTATTATGAGTTTAAGTCATTTATATCAAGTGTAAGCAATATGCTGGACCATATTTTCATATTTTATGGCCCAAAAACAGCTTAATTTGACTTAGTTTAATTTGAGGTTTAAGTTTTTGGGCAATTTTTTTTGGTGAAGTGTTGGACAACCACCATCAATAGGCTGTTGTCTGTTATAAAGCTGAAGTATTTATATGGAGTGTTNTTGGACAACCACCATCAATAGGCTGTTGTCTGTTATAAAGCTGAAGTATTTATATGGTCCTAACAATCACTTCACACAGATGTTTCTACACATTTAACAGTCCTTGAAATATCCTGGTGGTAAGTGAGGTGGCAAATAAAATGACAGGCACTATATATATCAACATTTTACTATACATGTGTTTCTATTGATAGTTGCAGTATTATAATAACATACATAGGCGAGCTATGCTGTTCTCCGACAGCTCTTGTTGTATAATGCTTTTACATACTTTACATTAGCATGGCCCATTTTTATTAAGACACTTAAAAGTTAAGATTGTGGAGTTTAGACATAAGTGTTATATACAGTTACTTTTAATTACTCTATGATAGATGAATCAAATTTCCAGGGCTGATAATTGTCTGAAATAATAAAAAAAGACCTTCATTACGATATTTCTTACTGTTTGTGATTTCTCCAATTATAGATATATTGCCAGAATCTGTGCCTCCTTGCTAAATTATTCCTGGACCATAAGACACTGTACTTTGATGTGGAACCCTTCATGTTCTACATCCTCACAGAAGTGGACCGACACGGCTGCCATCTTGTTGGCTACTTCTCGAAGGTAACTTCCAGGGATTTTCACTAAGGTTTCACAGGGTCTGGTGAAAGGACCCATTCCCAGACATAAGAAAATAATTCTGATTTGAACATTGCTTTAAAATGTTGGACTATTAGAGAGAAACATGTTTAACGCTTGAAGATTAACTTTATCTAATTAGACAATGCTACAAATATTCAATGCATGTCATGCTGCTTTCCAAATTTTACCAATACATGTGTATATATTAACAGATTTTCACTAAGATCCCATGTCAAAATCGCCAGCTTCTCTGTGGTACTATTGTTACACAATGAAGAATAGTAATTAATATAAAGCCAACATCAAAATAAGTCTGTTCACTTTCGAAGAATTCTGACTCTGTTCTATTTTGAAGAATTCTCCGCCATTTGATATTTCCTACAGTAATTTAATGTTTTAACTCATGGATATGTTTGAAGGAAACAGGTTGCATTGTTGAAATATTAATCATGCTTTCAGTATTCTGAAAACATTTCTTGTAAATATACTGAAATTTAGGCAACAATGTCTTTTTACGGATGCATGGTAGGGTAATTTCCTGTGGTATATGCATCTCCTTTCAAAGTTGTCCAGTCTTCTATAAGTAATCTGTAATACGTTTCTGCATGATATTTTGCACTTAATGAATTATTGGATGACATCCAGTATTTGAAAGGTAAGGGAGAATATTTGTCACGGACATCACTCTGATGAAGCCAAAAATATCACAAATCTTTTCCACTTCATGTTAATATTTAATTATTTGCCATTTGAACAATCTTAATTTCTTTTGCTTCATAACAGGAAAAAGAATCTCCAGATGGAAACAACATTGCCTGCATTCTCACACTACCACCATTCCAGAGAAAGGGATACGGCAAATTTCTCATTGCGTTTAGTGAGTATTTTATAGATTGACAATGGTCAGTGTCCAACTAATTACCACACAAATCAGGAATGCATATATTGGTATTGTTTGTTACTGTCATATCAATAAAAAACTGAAGGTTCCCTGCATATTAAATTCATAATAAACATTATGTCCAATTTTCTGAATGAATCTAAATTAGTTTCACTAATCAGTTGGATGGAGACTTTCTGTTTCATTCATTCTTTTGAATTTCTGTGAATACACATAAAATGTGTATGTTAATGTTTACAAATTACTATTATTCAGTCCTTTCTGTGTTTTGTGTGTTGTTTGTTCAGGGTTTAACATCCACACAACAGCTATTAAGGTCATATGAAGATAGTTGATAAGCTTTGACTTTTAAATATAAAAATATAAGTACACACTGACCTGTAGCTATTTTGAGCTGTTATCATGGGACTGGTTCTTTTTTTTACGTAAGCAATTCCTTCAATATTCTAATAGGTTATGAGCTTTCAAAACTGGAAGGTACTGTTGGATCCCCCGAGAAACCTCTGTCAGATCTTGGCAAGTTGAGCTACAGGAGCTACTGGTCATGGGTCCTGCTGGAGATTCTGCGAGACTTTCGAGGAACTTTGTCCATACGTGATCTCAGGTAAAACACACGAACATTATGTGTGATGATAATAAAGAAAACAAATCCACCACTAGTTGAGTCCTGGTGACTCCTATGTTGAGCTTTAAACTGGGATTAGGTTGTTGAAAGATCACATTTCTTCTATGAAAAGTGATTTTTTGATAGAGATGTTTCAGGTCGTTTTGGGAATTAAGTGTTTCAGATCGTTTTGGGAATTTATCGTATCCCATCATTTGACTCGTACAGTGCACACTCACTGAAAGCTGTGCTGTGTTTGGAGGGGATCCTAATACAGGTTATACAAAACATGAATTTGGTTTTAGATATGAGCACAAGATGGTAGCCCCTGAAGTGAAATAAATCTCCATATGGTGATGGGCAGAAATGCTTCAAAATTATAATGTTTACACTCCTATGTAACCGTCAATTTAGAAATCTAATGTTAGACCTGTATCTTATGCATTGCATCTCTCATAATGCGTATTTAGTTTCCAACGACCACAAGAATAGCGACTACATTCCTTTTCCTGCTTTAAGATATTTCTTGCTTTCATTGATTTAAATAAAAAAAAAAGGTTGGTCGTCATTATCTGGGTTAGTTGGTATCTGATTTATATGTTTAGAATTTTTTAATTTTTTCCCTTATTGTATTATTTTTGTCAAATTTGGATGCTTGAATAGTTGCTTATATGTACCGTTTGGTACTGTTGTTTGATTACTTGTTAGAATGTGGATTGATGTTCGAATGGTTTTGATAAAGATTTCGTATATTGCTACTTTACAGTCAAATGACCAGCATCACACAACATGATATTATCGGCACACTACAGTCCTTGAACATGGTGAAATACTGGAAGGGACAGCATGTAATCTGTGTCACACCAAAGCTTGTCGAGGAACATTTAAAGAGTGCTCAGTACAAACGTCCAGTCCTCACGGTCGACTCCTCGTGTCTGCGGTGGGAACCACCCAGAAAGATTCAAAAACTTCTGAAAAAATGATGAGATGAAAGTTCATAAGTTCATATGTTGAAAACATGTTTTACTGATTGGAATTACTTCAGTGACAATCTTATGTTTGTTAGTGAAAAGTGTTATTATCTGTTTTTGACATTTAGAAAATTTGAAAGACTGAGATTTAAATAACTTTGTTGGTGTATCAGAATGGGTTTTTTCATGAAACAAAAGTGGTTACTAATTGGGCGTATATTAAGTACAATTTCTTTTTTGTGTAGTTTCACATTTGTCTGTATAGACTTCTAACGTTAATAAAAGCTGAAGTCCCAAGATCAAAGCGATGAAGAACTAGGCGTCTGCAAAGTGGTATGAACAAGTACTTTGATTCTGTCCTTACAAAACGACAAAATTCAAGGTTGCAGAGTAGATACCATACCACGAGCGGAACTCCTGAATTTCGAATATAAATAAACACAGCCCCTTTTCCATGAATGTCTGTATGTTACACCACCTGTGTACTGTATGACTGTATGTCTGACCATTCGTATGCAAAAACTTATTATTTATATGTACTGTTGTAGATATTGTTAAATAAAATTGAAGATTTTAAATAATTGGTTTTTTTTTCTTCTTCAAATTTTGAATTTAGAAAATAATTATGCATATTTCATAAAGGTTCCGAACTTTTGTGAAAGGTGGTCCTCACTAAATATTTTAGCTCACAATCATCAGATGATGGACTATTCAAATCACCCTACATACATTGTCCATCTGTCTGTCATTGAACATTTCTTTTAGTATTATTTCTCAAGAAAGTAAAGTCCTAGTTATAAATATCAAATTTTAGAAAACCAAGATGGCCAACAGGTGCCCATCTTTTATCTTGTATTTTGAGAGTGTAAAGGAAGACTCTTTGCCAAATTTTACTTAAGCATATCAAATTTTGGGATCGATCGGAAAACCAAAATGGCTGACAGACGACCATCTGAATTTTGAGAGTTATAGATTGTTAGCACTTTTTCTAAGAAAAGGCTGGATGAATCTTTTTCAAATTTCACACAAAGGTTTCCCATGGTCCCTGGTTACACACGTCAAATTTTGGGACTGATGGGGGGGGGGGGGGGAACAAAGATACATATGTATCTGATAGCTATATATATATAGGCAGCCATCTTGAATTTTGAGAATTAGATTGTTAGCTCTTTTTCTCTGCGAATACTGGATGGATATTTTTTCAAATTTCATATGAAGATTCCTTATGGTCCCTACGTACGATATTGAATTTTGAGACTTACAGGAAAATCAAGATGGCCGACTAAGTCTATTTCATGGTTACATGTATGGTCTGTTTCATCTGGGGCGAAATGTCTTTGATTGGTCAAATAATGGTTATATAATTTTGACATTTCACACAACACTATTTTAAAGAATACTTTATTGAATCGATAATGCAGCAACAGCGACATAACAAAACAAAGATATATATAATTACAATGTGTAATATACAATGTACTATGATGCTAGTGTATAACAGGCTTTGCCTTTGGGTGGAACATGATCAATTTCTAATATATGCAATGCATGTATTGCCAACTTATTCAAATTGCATGCTGAACCTCTTCACTGATTGAGGACATGCTACTACTTGCACATACCTGTGATGTGTACATTGTGTCCTAATGTTTTAATTCAGCATGAGCAAAATCACTGAAATTGCCCTCATTTGTCTGGTGAAATGTTGGCATCATTAAGGTATGTAGCAATACAATGAGGCAGACTTATGAAGGAATTTTTTAGAAGAAAAGGAAAAGGGGTTCTTGAAATATGATGGTGGTAATGGTTAGCAAGATGGCAAATGAAATAAATTGGGGTGTCAAATATATGGAGGGACATGACATCAAGGTGTTACTGAACTGTGTTCTTGTTGAACTCATTTGAAAAGAGGTGTATATGAGGCAGCTTTCAATTGTATATGTAATACGAGAGGAAATTTGCACAGCAAGACCAGGATGCGAATCCGGAACCTTTGAAATCTAGACAGATGCTCTAACCAACTGAGATGGCAATCAAGGTTCCGCTACATTCCTTCCTCCTTTTTGTAAGTCTTCACCCTCAAAGCCAGCATTATCTACAACCCAGCATTGGATACCTCTTGCCAAGCGTACACCCAGTAATTAAAACAGGGTTGGTCACATGTACTACCACTGTAACAGGAGAGGAAACAAGCACTGCCAGATAGTGATTTGAAGCAGGGACTTCCAAACTCTAGGGAGAGGGCGCCCTTACCAATGAGCTACCTGGTTCCTGGTAATTGACCCAGTCCAGTTCTACTACATACATATGTGGCAGACAAACTGGTTTGTCTATTTTTCATTGTAATGTTTCAGGGATAAAGCCTGACAGATCTCCAATTCAATACAGGCCTTGAAAGTCTTTGCCAAGGCTCATCAGAAAGCAACACCAAATCCCTAGGTCTGTCCTTATTTCATTAACAAACAACTCTGGTCCTACTACTTGGATGCGATACACAAAAATGGACATGATCTTAAGGTCAACTGGTAGAATGGCCAACCGGAATCGAGGCAGGGGTCACTGGTTCAATCCCAAGTGACATATCACAGGAAGATGACAATGACCACGGAAGGTGAATATATATTGAAGATTTGGAGTTCTTCTTAATTGGGACATTATTCTGTAAACTTTATGTAAAGTGTTGTTTCCCTAACAAGTAAATTCAAGCCTATAACAGATACATATTAGCATATGGGGATGCAGAGAGACTCTTATAATGGATAATCTATGGGAGGTGGAGTATTGTATGTGTTAAACAAACAAGATACATGTGGAGCAAGGCATTAACACAGGTACAAGTAAATATACACATACATACACCAAGTTATATCAAATCAATTGTTTTGTTTCAATGGAACATGTCCAGAAGCTTTTAGTGGTGTAAATAAGTCCTTTTGAACGAGTTTCATAATTATGTACAGGTTTGTATTTCATACAAAATGCAAACAAGTTAAATCATTTTACAAACATGTACAAATGCTTTATAAACAATCTGATTATGCCAGTTAAACCCATATATGACACGATATTACTCTCTGCAGCAGTGCAACAAAACACAAATAGTCTAGTGAAGATGTATCTGTCTACTGTACAAATAAAACAAAATGGGTATGCATCCATTTAGAAACTCAACAAAACATGTTTAGTTCAAAGTTTTTTGTTCAGAAAAAACATCAGAACAATTTATTTTTGGTACACAACATAAATGTTTTTTTGTTTGATAAATTGTAATGAGTTACTGGTACTGTGATTTCTTTTCACCTTCAGCTGAAAGTGATATCCAACTCGGGGACAGTCTTGTGACTATCCATTGCATGATATGTAGACAAAATATCTGTAGTCAATAAGCAGTCCTGACTAAAATAGCACAGACCAATGGATGGTCAGACATTGTCCCAAGTTTATCTTGTAGGGAACGATAAAAATCCTTAGAATAATTTATGATTTGCTAAAACCCTGGAATAAAATCAATGATAATTGATTTCACAAATCTACCTAATTCTTCAAAATACCCTTGTGTCCAATTCGTTTTCCCCAGTTATTTCTTGGATTTAAGAAGACATCTTGCTAATCAACTCAAAACTATTATAGGTCAGATGCAAAGACAGTTTTCCTCTTTAAATTTGTGAAGTCTTTTTTATGGTGTTCTACTGAATAAATACTCGTCTCTTCTTGCACACTGTTTCTGAAAGAACCTTTTCTTACAACACTAAACAGCAAACTTTTGCTACACAATTTGGCAGTCTCTACGAATACTTTGCCTGTAGACACAAATATTTTATCTTTACATGGGTGTTAAAACTTTGATATCTAGTATTAAACTACAATTACATTTTTAGTTTTCTTTAATCCAATATTCAATATTGTTTATATTGCTTGTGCTATCAGGCATGCTATCTGTATCTGTAGGACTAACATAAGTTGATAATATGTTGATGTGGATTAGGTACATCCAATTTCACAACCAATTTTATACAGAAACACAAAAAACATCAATTTTAAAAACATCAACTTCTGAACAATACCTTGCAAGGTGTAAAAGGCAAACAATTAAAGTCAATGTAAATGGATGCCGATTATGTCAATAAAAAGATATATACACTGTAGAATACTTTAAGAAATATGTAGAAAAAAATGCATGTAAAGAAACTGATGCAGTAAAGAAAATATAATGAAAAAGATATTTAAGATAAAATACATTACATGTATCACCATTCAGACAATAGGCAATATGAAAACACATTCAGCTATAACAAATATGCAAGCACACAATGGCTAGTATTACATAAATAAGTCTGTAGGAGTTAGGGACCAACATCTCTTCAATCAAATTTAACCTTAAGGATTTTAATTCAGTGGTTTAATTTCATAACTTTGGTATGATTTTCACCTTGACCAATAGTTTGCAGGATTTTTACGATTCACAGATTTTTTTCAGACTGTGAATATAGCAAAAGCCAAACCCTTACGAACTGTAATCATTACGCAGTATTCAAAGAAAGTGAAATAATTGTCACTTGCCCCGAATAAACAGCATTTCGTTCAAAATGAACACATTTTATTTGTTAAATAAGTAGTAAAACGTACATATATTTTATCAGCACCATTTCCACACATAATGGCACATATCACTGAACAGCTATTGTAACTACTCTTTATTCAATAAAAACAACATACTTCCCAATCTAGCAGGTACATATCTTGACTCACAAAAAATAATTAATTGTGCATAATTATATACCTCTACATTATTTTTTCTATCTACACCGGTCTTTTGCCCCAATCTATGAAAATAAATACAATGATAGCATGAGATACTTGTAGAATTATATCACATCCGCTCAGGCCAAACAAAAAATATTTGGTGTTTACGGTAACCATACCTTCCCTAATTTATTTTGCCCACCCTGAACTTTTTTAGGTAATTTTCCAAGAAGCACTGTTAAAGTCCAGACCTCACTCCTTTGTAAACCACAAAATTATTTTAAAAATCAAATGCGTCCTTACCTACCCTAAATTTTTCCAACATGTTACAGGAAACACATACATTTTTTGTCTGGCCTCTGTCGGGTTACAATGCACACATGTACAATGAATCAGTTTGACATATCTAAAATCTCATCCATTCCAGCTATTTAGATATTTTGATATAAACTCTTAAATGACTGAACATGAGCAGGAAAAAAAGATATTTTATTAATCTTATGATAAGTACAGGACATCTTACCCAATCTGGGTAAAAAACATACTGTGATGAAACTGCTTTCAGAATTTGATGCTGGATTGTTTCTTGATCACCTCATTTGTGAAACTGTTTAGAAACACTTTCAACTTAATACCGAGCAAATGCTTATCATTGATCATTAAATAATTTAATCAATACAATATTTGTTCGTTGCGTACTCCATTGTTCAATCCTGTACCCTGAAGGCCACTGTAGTTACGAGATGAACTGCTTATTGCTCTGTTTGTTAAAACCAACTCAAGCTCCTGGAAATCCCTCAAGCGGCGAACATCTTTGTCCTTTCTTACAATTGTGTCAGGAAGTTTCCTGACTTTATTTACTGAACGACGATCAACAGCAAGTTCTCGGCACATGAGATTCAGTAGAGATTCAAAACACAGACTTGACCTATCAAGTTCCACTTCAAGAAAGTCTCGCTCATCTGAATTTGCCAGCCTTATCTTCAGCACAATTTCTGTGACAGAAACAAAATTGGATCAGAGCAATGATTAAATCAACATATACTGTATCTAGCATGTCAATGAATTGTTGTAAATATTTTGCAATGTTGTGTAAACCCTTAAGCTTTGTGTCATCATTTGTTCAAGATATAACTACCTATATATATATAGGTACACTGTATTGAGTGCCAGGGGTGTACAATGTTATTTGTGGAGTACCATTCTGCACACAGACTTTAAAAACTTCTTGATCAGCCCAAATCGTTTTTTCGTAGTAAAAAAGAGTAGCATAAATTTCCATATAAAATGGGCATGAAACGATATGACTTACGCATATTTATACGTAACCAAAAACTAATAGGCACTGAAAACCCGACCATGTATAGAAGAGCTTTATGTGGAGTCATAGGGTAGCGGTTTATATATTTTTTTTCTGGAATAGCCATAATAAGTATTTTAAAATTGATTTTTTTATAGAATGTATGCCTGGAAAATTGTTAGGAGTTTTAACTAGCTATAGTAAATAAACCTATTTGTAAGGCTTATATAAATTTTCTGCTGTCTCGTGATTTAATAAATGATTTAAAATGTTGGTAAATTGTTATTGGGTAACATGTAACCTCTGCATATAAAACTGTACCATTTTCATCCAAAATATAAGGTTGAAGTTTTCTTGAAGCAGACTCGGATGTAGTGGTAGATGCAGGACTGGCAGATGTACCACCACCTCCATAACCAGGCTGTGTGTAAGGGAATGGTGGGTTAGCCAAGTATCCTGGGGTGATTGGCAATTTGGACTGCTTTACATCTGTCGTATCACTTGCTAAATGAAGGAACAAAACTAGTGTCAAACAACACTTAGTCTTCTCTACGTACACTTGGTTACAAAGTTTGCCGATCTTTTGTAAAATACACATAATATATATGTATAATGAACAAACTAAATAGCCTGAAAAAGATTTATCTCGAACTGATATCAGAGGTGAAAGTATAACTACTGAAAGTGCTTTTGTTTGTTTCTACACTCAATACCTTTACCAGATGTAACCACATGCTAAGTTTAAAGATCACACAACCAAAATACTGTTAATTAAGAATGAGGAGTCTGAAAATCAACAGATCCTAAATTTAAAATTACCTCCAAGCATTTCTCTAACATCAGCGTCAGTGGAAAGGTTAGCTGGATATTCCCCTTCTTTGTTGGGTAAGTTGGGGTTAGCTCCCTTGGTGAGGAGATAGGAGACTATTGTCCGTTGATTACGCTTAGCTGCCCAATGTAGTGCAGTCCTGTAAAACAGCAATGGTAATACATTGCAAAAACGACCTTGTATAATAGGAGTCTTTCACAGTGAAACACAATCTTATTGCTTGCTACAGACTTGGCTAATGGAAATTTCTTTGTAGCTCAACTGGACTGTAGTCCCTAATTTTACTCTTAGCGGAAACACTAAAAAAAAATTAGTTACCCGACAACTTTGATGCTAACATATTGGATTTTGATTCCTCTGTATCACTGGGCCCATATTCATGAAACTGTTCTCACGTTCAAGCATGGAATTTGTCTTATTTTTTGTTCAGATTATAACTTAATGCATAATAAAAAAAAATGTCAATGATTTGGAAAAACTTTGAAGAGCCTTCCACTGTTGTCAATGTTTTCATTTGAGTTCTTGATCATTTGACATGATTTGAGTAAGTTACAAGAAAGTTGGTTTTAGCACATAATGATAATCCATGCTTGAGCATGAGAATGGTGTCATGAATACCGGCCCTGATCTTCATCTCATATATATGTATTCTTGTACTTTAGAAACTGAAAAGAAAATTGTTTCTAACAAGGAGGTACCAATATTATGTCATTGTGTTAGTTATGTAACAGGAAAGGAAAATGACGACCAGACTGGGGTTCGGTCGGACCCGGGACCCTCCCAACTTAGACTAGACGGAGGCTCTTCCACGACAATCGACCCAGTCCAGTTACGCTATGTTCTTCTCTCCTTTTTCTAAGTCTTCGCCCAAGAAGACACAACTAATTACAACCCAGGTTCGGGTTATCCCTGGAGAAGCATACAACAAATGCTTAAACAAGGGCAGTACTTCACTGTAACAAGAGAAGAAAAATGTACGGCCAGACCGGGGTTCGAACCTGGGACCCCTTGATTTCTAGATGGACACTCTACAAATTGAGCTATATCTGGTCGCAGACAATCGACCCATTCCAGTTCCACTAGTTCTTTATCAAGTAAGCTGGAGGGAATTTCTTGCTAAAGTGACCTCAATTATAAGTATCTATTTAACTGTTGCAAAAACACGAAAGAAAAACCCCACAAATCTGATAGACATGTATTAATCCACAAAGTAAGAGAAAATATAATAAAATGAAGCCAGATGTTCAACAGCTGATCACAGAGGTTCGTTACAATTGTGTAAAACACACATCAGGTATGCCACATTGATATTGGTCGCAGTTACTGTACAGTACACCTAACATAATATTATACATTATAAACATATTTTACAACCCTATCAGCTGATCGTTGTCGCCGATACATATCATTATTAATCATACCATCCATTCATCCGATTTTGGGCATTGACGTTGACATTTTGTATCTCTAATAGTTTTCTGATAGATTCGATATCACCAGTGCATGCAGACTCCCTTAATTTTTCTTCAAACTCGATTGACGCGTCCATGCCTGACTTTTTTTACACCGGAAATGTGTGTCTGCACTTGGGTGAGACTAAACTCCGGAGTGCAATGGAATCAATAAAATCCGGATTTCTAATATTTAACTTTATAAGATATATATAGAAAGCGTATGTATATTTTTCAAAGTATGAAAGGAATACTGAATGTTCTAATACTATACATGAAATTTCAAATAAAATCCTTCTGATATTGTTCAATAATCAGTGAGTCTCAATTCATATCACTTTGGGCATGTTGGTTATTGAGAAGAGTTCATTTATAGGATTGCACACATTTGAATATTGAAATTGGGCCTGTTGTGAAGACACAACTGTAATACATTTGATCAAACTTGGTTGCCCTTCATTCTAGCATGCTGCTGGTCACATGTCATATCTCCATAACATTTGGTTTTTGAGTAGAAGATGTTTAATTAGTTGAACACAGTTTGACCCCTGTGACCTAGAAAATAGTTAAAAGTAAAGAGACTATAGGCCTAATTGTAAAAACCGTTAAAAATATCATAAAAAGGTAAAAGAAAATATGACACAAAACTTACACTTCCTCTTCCTCTTCAATACACTAATTAAAAGTGTCTGCAAGAATATTAATATTTAAAAACAACTAGTCAGAATCTAATTTAACGACCGATTCTATCAAATATATGAATTCTCTAAATATATAGTACTGCAGATGCATACACACTTTGCAACCCTTGTTGACTCTTGCAAGGTACTTACTACCACAGAATTAGATTATCTAAGTCCGTGTTACGACTTAAGAAATTGTTTCCGCGGCAGCCTACGTTTTGTAGAATCTGCTTCCCATCCATTCCACTCAACATAAATGTTTCTGTGAGTACGCCATGGAATTGCCGTGGATTTGGATTTTGGCTAAGATTTTATACATTTTGTGAAAATGAACAAACCTTGTAATATAATTAGATAAATACCGAATCATCAATCAACGAGCGTTCAGAAGTGTCCCGTTACCTAGATATAGACAACCACAGGTGACCGCTCCTTACTGGCGTGAATTTTAATGAGCTAACCGATCACGTGGTATACTTATGATGTGACAGTGGCAGGTTTCGGTCACTGGCCAATACAACAGTAGCTATATATAGGGTTCAGGAGCAACATCCCTCCTATATAATTCTGATCTGTTTCAATGGACAAGTTTGACAGTGTGATTCTTGGCATGAACAAGATACTAAATACAATTCTCGACGAATTTAAGTTGGAATATGCATCTGACAAGTCTGTTGACACACCTTCCTTTATGCAGGCCTATTTGCAAAGAGGAAAAGAATGCAGTTTGTGGCAGTAGGCAACTGTGTCACCGATGGATTTGTGAAATGTGTGATTTTGTCTTTCTGGTTGTTTTTTTCTTATTAAAAATTCCCAAGCTTTGTCTTTTATTTTTGAAAATGAAAGCTTTACATAATCGAAAATTATTCAACAAAATGCAACCATAAGTCTAACCTCAAATGCTATGGAAGTGATTCCTATTTTTACATGGACGTCACACCCCAGGACGATTGGGATGCTTTCTCAGTTTGATTGGGAGCATGATTGCTTGACATCATACAGTTTACTGGTAGTCTGGATGAATGTCATATGTTGAAACTGAACCGAGACTAAACGAAATTCACTGTGTTTGATCACAAACATCAGAAATAGAGCATATGCCACCCTGGTAAAGTACTAGACCAGGCTAGTGAGAAACTTCCCTTTAGCTCATTCGGTAGAGCGTAAGACTAGTAAACCAGATATTTTGGGCTCAGAAAAAATAATGACCTCCTTTACATAAAGGAACCCGGGAGATATAATGATCTGCTTTATGAAAAGTTCTTTTTACACAACCAATAACATTATCTATGTGACGTGTCTATGACTAGTCTGATACGTACACTGTCACCCTCATCAGACAAATGACCAATGAAGCATATGCACACAAATGTGTAAAATGTGTTCGAGTTGTCCTCAAAATCGATCTCGATTTCGGCTACTCTGTAAGCGTATGTACAATAGTTGTTATATTTGTACCGAAATGACTCGATTCAGCAACGCTTTGCTTAATACTTGGTCATAGATTTGCGAGAGTCTTTTGTCATTTGTCTGATGAAGGTGATAGTATACATATCGTACTAGTCATCGAAATGTCACATAGAAAATTGTATTGGTTGTATAAAAAGAACTCTTCATAATCCATACTTACCAACATAAGAAAATGTTTAGAAATGATCTACTTTATTTCAATTTATTTTTTGTTGGTATCGCCATTGGGACTTGGATCATGTTGGTGATTATAACTCATAGTCATCACTAAATTGTATCTTTCAAAACTCTGTGCCGTGAATTTGTCCTTCAACATTCGATATTTATCGTTTTAATCGTAATATTCAGAGCAAACTCGACAATATCGAATTAGACTAAATGAGACATTTGAAAAACGCTGGCAGATGGGGACACCGGCATATTATTATGAATAAATGGAAAGTTTACGGGAAGGTGATTGAAATCGTCACCTTTATCATACAGCTCATATACATGTTATAAGAAAAAATCGAAGTAAGTGGCTGATATAGCAGAGTCTGTAACATCTTTGAAATAAATAGAATACAATCAATTTGACCAAGAGAGGGTCACAATTATTCTAAACAAATCTATTTCCTAGAATTTGGTCGTTTATGATTATGCTCCTAAGTGTTCCTGACGACGTCGTTGTCGCTACCTCTTTATCCTTCGATATCCTGGTATTGAATGGTTTCGACATAGGTATGTATAGCGGTTGTCGTCGATGTAGCAAAACACGCTTATCCTTCTGAATCTCCTGGTCTTATCATCTTTGTTAATTTCAAAGGTATTCACGTAATTCGTTCATTTCGGTGTTCTCCTCTTTTCCTTTTAATGCAGGACTTATGATCAAATAACGCCCATTCTGAAGTATATATAAGGCATGAGACAAAATGTTGTGCACGTGATAAGAACGTTTCTTGAAGCCAAATTGTTGAAGATTTCAGAATAGTAATTCATATTTAAAATGCATAAAAAGGATAGCAATAAAAGGCAAGAAATACCATCTTTAGCGCATCTTTAATATCATCAATACGATTCATCAATTGGAAAAAATACCATCAACATGTTACTATATATAAAAACAATGTACATATTAAACGTGCTGCAACGTCTCGTGGCCGGCTGGTCCCTTTTTCAAGCTATGACGTAGCGACAGGTTTAATACGTACATTGTTTCAATGTGTAAGTAAAACTTTGATATTTAAATGCATCTCATTTTATATTGTATCTCATGATATTCACAATTTTCAGATATATGTTATTCGTTAAAATATGTAGATGAAATATTGAAGATATTGGGTAACGATTTTAAGATATGTAATGCTTTACTAATAAATATTGATATTACTGCATATTGGTTAACATTAGTAAGCTGTATTATGAAAAGTTCTTTTTACACATCCAAGAAGAGTTTCCATGTGACGTTTCGATGACTAGTACGGTATGTATACTGTCACCTTCATCAGACAAATGACCAGTGAAGCGTATGCACACAAAGGTGTAAGGTGTGTACGAGTTGTCCACAAAAGGGATGTCGATTCGGCTACGCTGTAAGCGTATGTACAATAGTCGTTATATTTGTACCGAAATGACTCGATTCAGCTACGCTTTGTTTAATACTTGGTCATAGATGTACAAGAGTCTTTGAGCCCCCATAATCTCATTAGTAAGTTGTACTTAATCGTCTTTCTCCTGACATTTCCTTCCAAGTGATTTATGTGAGCTACTTGAAATTAAAGGTTAATATGAAATATGGGGCAGCTTTGGACTGACTTCATCTCAGTATAATCACTCATTAAAGCAGACTATGGTCCCTTGATTAATATCAACATGAACATTAGTGCACATAGCCACCTGGGAGACTAGACAGTGATATCTAAAGACCTCTCACCTGATTGCTGGTCATGGGTAAAAGGGAGAACATGCATCCAACCAATTAATAATTCAGGGATCTCTCAGCTCTGTCAGCCTGACATTCGGACCCTGTTACCCTATTCTCCTTACTTAGTAAATTAACAGAGGCTCTCCCTTCTTTACCTTATTCACATATGCCATATTTGTTATTGGCTCCTTACTGATAAAGGAAGAAGAGTATGAGGACCTAGTTTGGCCACATGACTAGTGACCTATGGCAGTAAACTGCTTCCAGATAATAATATGGAATAAGGATTATTAATGTTGCCAGTCTGCTGCTGTACACCCCAAATCGGCCAATACAACTCTATAGAATCTAGGTTTAGCTAGGATGTATACATCAACTCAACATACCCTAGGGTAAGCCAGTAAATTAAACTCAAAGCCTAAGCAATGTGACTTCCAAGTATTGCAAATTTAAGCAACCAGGCTATGGTTTTCAATTAGCTTTAGGTAAGTCACAGTCGTTCAAGTCTTGTTTACTACGGATTGTTGTTTACAGCCTTTCAGCACTCTGCTCTCCAACACTATGGGGTCAATAGCTTATCGGCAACTCTTATCTACAGACTTGTAAATAAATTCTGTGAATTTATCTTGCTTTGTTTGTTATTTGTTGTGTAAACTATATATTATGTGTTGCCTGGTGTATTGTTTTTTAAAAATACAAACAAGTAGCGAAAAAACAATTCACCAAAGCCAAAAAGTCCATTCATTTCATCAATAATTTTACGACGGCTGATAGCAGAAAGACACTTTTGATAACTGTCATGTTCAAAACTTTTATACGCAGGTCGGTGGTTTTCTCCGGGTACTCCGGCTTTCCTCCACCACCAATACCTGGCACGTCCTAATGACGTAAAACACACCAAAAAAATCAAAACAAATCTGTAAACATGCTTTACTTTTACACTTCGGGAAGTATTGATATTAGAATTTTCAGCTTATGAAAACAAAATTTGATTTAATAATTTTCAACTCATAACAACAAGAAGATTAGAAAATAATATTTTGTCATTGTTTAGTGTAAGTCGTTTGCAAGTCTACAGGACTTTCGTTTTGATTTGCCCCCTAGAAGCCATTCCCCTATATCACGATATAATCGTTCGTATTTATGTACATCTTTTTGATGAAGTCGTCGACAGAGTTCACAGAATGGAGCAGAATGAATCGTTCCATGGTTTATCTTATAATGTGCTCGCCATTTCATATACTTTTTTATTCTTGTTTTGTTTTTGGAGAAAGCTTTGACGTATTTTCCTAGATCCGATATATGTTTGAATTTTGAGGTATCTATATAAGAACCAGGAGGAAGAAACATGGACAGATTCGCGTCACTCCGTACAATGGGTAACGCCATTTCTGAAGAAGCATACATTTTGAAACTCTTTTCAGTAATGTAATCTTTACATAATTCACTTTCAAAAGACAAATAAAATTTATACGGTTTTAAACACTCCACAGTATTTTTCCTTGAACAATTTTTCACACCACATTTCCCGTAAATATCCACCGACGTCACTTTTTTCAATTTCTTTACGAATGTATCTCGTTTTCCACTTGTTTCACAATTAGATACCATCCAAGCGATACCTTTGGACTTCTTTTGCCAATTTGCATATGTATCTTTTCTTTCTTTTTCCAGTATGTTTTGATTATCAGTTCGTTTCCTAAATACACCATATGTATTCGTTATATCGGCATCCCTTCTGTAACTCATTGTCCAATTAAATACATTTTTCCATTTGTCTAATTTATTCCAGTGAGCCCCTGGAGGTTCCAGTGCATGAAACACCCAGATTTGTCCCATCTTCTTTGGGGGGTGTTTTACCTTGACATACGGGGCATGAAATACAACAACGTCACTTCCAGCGTATGAATTTCCTTCCCCGTCTGTCAGGTAGCATTTGCGATCACATCCTGCGAATATGTCCATCGGAAGCCATATCGGACGGTTAAAGTAGTGGACTCGTATGGTTGTTTCCATAGGTATTAGATATTCAAAATAGCCGTAGCTGGAGCGAGAATGTATCCAAAACAGATACAGAAATATTGATGTAGTACCAAATAGAAGTGAAAAAAGAGCGAAAGTCGAGGATCTGCAACACCTGGAACAAACATAAATAGTGCAAATATATTATAAATTCTATTTCGATATGTTCTAATTAAGATTCCAATCTATCCTAACTTGACAAACCGTCCTTATCAATAGTTCTAACAGTTTTTCCCCAGCTTCAGCATCTTTATTTACACTCAGTTTTAACGGTACATTCTATTTTTTAATGTTGACCGCAAACACACAGCATCATTCTGCCTTCAGCTTACACAAACCTTGGGTAAGTATTATTTTTAATTATTAATTATATGATATCCTTTTATATTTTATACTTTGTTTTCATATAATGTCAATGTTCCCTGTTTTTGTGTGTCTCGACTAAGGAGGGAGTTGCTTCGAAAATCTGACAACCTTACATTGTTTTACACTGTTGGCTTTACTTCCTTACCCCATATATATGAAAAATATTTTTGTAATAGATAGTATTGGTATGCAATAGGTTCTATCTGAACCTGTGATTTAAAAAAATCAATTGCATACCAATCATATCTGTCACTAAAAGTATGCTGTATGTGAAACTGTGTCTATTTATACCTATTGACACATTTTGTTGTTGTTTCGGTGGAGGAATAGTATTGTGACGTTTTTTTTAACTGGTATTACTTTCTTTTTGAATATTCTATTATTGAAATCCCGAACTCGCAGACACAGCTATCTCATTGTAAATAGACATCAGACCTAATCAAACCGTTCATCTTGGATGATACTGTGAGTAATATCTTTTGTTGAACGTTGTAAAATAATATTTCAACAATTACTGCAACGAGATTTTCTGCCAAATTGTTTAATTATAAATCAAGTTTTTTTTTATTTTAGTATCTTTTTTTTTGTCGCTAAATAAATACAATTATAAGAATAGCCTTCCGTCCATCGGCTGTATCAAACCTCGTTAGGGAGAAAATAAGTAAGTAGACTAAAAAGCGTGTAATACAGTTTTGTCCTTTTTTAATCTATAAAACTATACAGCACAAAATAAAACATGTTTTAGATTTGAATTACACTTACCACAAAAAGGTAAAACAAATATGCATTTCTATTTGCCACTATAAACGGATTAATTTTTATTCCATTTTCTCTCAACTAACACCATTCATCAATACAAAAACAAAAGTTCGTTTTTTTTCAATCGCTAGTTACGTGAAGATAGACAATTTTATTTCTTGAATTAGAAATGGTTCCTATGAGCTATGTTGCATGTTTCAAATAAAAAATAAAAATAAAAATTTATACGTTCCTGTGGATTCGAACGAAACTGTACGATGTGGATATTGCAAATACGCAGCGTTATTCACTAGGCCAAGAATCAAAGGTCCTCTGTCCTTGTTTCTGACATACCCATAATCTCTTTTCCGAGTATGGTCAGGAGTAATCGTGAAAACGTCCAATTTGTCACATATCTATATACACACTACCTGAAACGTAACAACTTAAACCATGCGATTGCTAATTTCCGTTTTCGTAGTAGAGATATATTCGCTAAAACACGACGATTGCATGTCATACATTTTCCGTTCTTCAGAACCAGATACATTTATATATATACATATTTTCATTAATTGAATTGTTGAAATATGAAACTAATAACAAGTATGAAAAATATTTAAAAAAAACACCACACAGTATCGTAAAAATATAGGTTCTGGTTTTCAATCGTATATAAGTTACTTTTTTTTGGATAATGGAACATAAATGGTAATACATATAAACATCATTCATATGTACTAACAAAGGCACGTAACAGATCAGCGATATAGTGTATCTGGCCTCAGGGAAAGAAACAAACACCTTATTGAGGATATGGATCACATATATGCCCTAGCAAGAATGTAGGTGATTCCAGACAAGTTACTTATTCTAGCCTATGAATGTAGGCGGCGACTAATAATGTCATATTGTAAGGGATATATAATTAATGGGGTGTATAGGATGAATTGATGAATTAATTAACTATGAATACGTTTAATGCTCACCTAGATGTCGACAAAAAACCTTTTATGGTAAGAATGTTTTTCTAATATATGTATTACACATGTTGGGAATACTTTTGAAGACACTGCTGTTTTTGTCCCTGAAACTGTGTTAAGGACTTTCCACACATGTTTTTCTTGTCGTATGTTCGTGTCGTCATTTCCGTATTGCGTATCGGGCATTGCAATACCGTAGTGTAAATTATAGTAACACCGGGTAAACATTAGTACACGTGCGTGACGATGATGTGTTAACACCCAGTATCGAGATTTTTGTTGGGAAATACGTAATCACACGTACTTCGAAATGAAGCTTATGATACAAAGACATAAATTAACGTACGGGAAGACACTGACATAAGATCAGATGACTTCAAGGAGGTCGTATATGAGGCGCATGGAACACAGGGGCATGGATCGATTTACTTGTAATATTAAAAGATAGGGGTCACCTATTCTAATAAATACAGGAGACCCCTATTTTTTATATAACAAGTAACGCGATCCATGCCCCTGTGGCATGAATGCAGACGGATGAGTTTTGTTTACCGACCTCACCTGTACCAAGCACGTGCTGACACTAGTTCACAAGCTCGGGTCGCTACGAGTTTTGTTGTCGAGCGAGTTACGCTCTGTCAGGTAAATCTTTTCTCAAAAGCAGTTTTGTAAAATGTCAAGATCTCTATAAAATGCAAGTGTATTATGTGCGTGCAAGTGATAACGGCATGCCATGCGATAGCCTATGGTTACATATATCATGCGTAAGCGGGCTATGGAATGATGTCCAAAGTGTTTATGATTGAGAGTAATTTTGTTCCATTATTTTTAGAACAGTAAATTGACAAATTTTGATATCATAATTTAATTTATTTCCGTCGTTTTTTGTATAGTAAAGAAAACAACTGTCATTGTAAAAAGTTGTATCCCTCTACAAAAAGTTTCGGGTTTTTTTCAAGATAGACAACTCTCATCGGGATCAAAATTATTGTAAAATGTAAAATGAATCAATTATAAAGACTTTGTGTGTATTTGGTTCAATTTTTCACTCTTTTTGTATGAAACTATGTGTCCTGTTTGCTTTTAGCTTGTATTTAGTAACTTTTATCCATAAGATTTCAATAAAAAACGCTTTTTGTAACATGTTGTAGATATTTTATGACAAATAAAATATCTGTAGGGTTGATTAGCAATGTTTCTTTTCATTATTTTATTGTTGTAATAGTTTTGAACAATGCCACACGCTCAAAAAATGTGAAAGTGTTGAATTTGACAAAAAAATCCCCAGTTTATCGGAATGCTTAGAATTTCATAAAATCATCTCTACATAGTGACATAACCATTATGTGAAACTTTCATTGAATTCTGCTGGCTAATTGCGAAAGGGTGGAGCCTCCTTAAATACTGGATGGCAGAAATAAGTGGGAAAAGAGATAGGAACAGAACACGCATCCTCATTTTTCAATGATGGAACCAAGAATAAAACAAATTAAAGGGAGGTAACTCCATGTATGAAAATTAGTTGATTGATATCGTGTTTGGCCGGTAGCGAGACAGGGATCTTTAATATGAACAATATAAAAGGTCATTTTGAATCTGAAAGGAGTAAACACTTACACAAATCATACTTATTTCCAAGACTTAAAGTACAGATAAATAGATGTTAACAGCATAAATTGTACATTTTATAAAATGAACAGAACCGAAAATGGATTTTAATGGGTTCAAAATATTATATTGATAAAAATATCACAAGAGAGCATGGATTAGATAATAATCTGTAAACAATCTCTTCTTACTTTAGAGCTATTTACCTCAAGAACGATGATGTTTTATCCCGGCCTCGGGGGTCTGGCAATACGCTTTTCATCCTGTTTTATACACCTGTCCACGGCCAAACGTTAACATTCCTGTTTTGCACAGTGAATGATTCAAATACAACCTTAATAGAAAATTATACCGGCTTTTACATCGTTAGCAGGTCGTTACGAAAACATTTTCTATCTGTTCGGCAGGCATGCCAGAATAGCTGATACTGCTCAGTATATAAGATGTCATCCTCGTTACAATTAATTTTATTGCTATAGATAGATTAGAAGCGACACTTACAATCAAACAACGGTTTTACACAACTCACCGTTGATGTCGACAGCCTAGGGCCATTTCATTTAACTGTGTTATGCATATATCATCACTACTGGAGATTACAACTTAAGCATATTCAGCTTGATATTAAACAAACAAAACATTTCATATATCACTTTTCAACGGTAATCATACGAAACGAAACCATTTTGTGCGAGAGTGCTCTGCTGAGAGAGTGTTAGCAATTATGAGTTGTTCGTTGTTTGAAATGTTGGGTTAGTAAAGTTTTCTCATTCGTTAACAGGGGAACCGCACTATAGGTGCTGTTATTGTTTTTAACGTATTATATATTCATAGTTTATACAATGCATATTATAAGGAATAATATTTACACACTTACACACATATACAGATATAAAGGTGTATAAAGGTATGATGAGTTATAACGACAGTTTCAGTCCAGAATTGGCACGAGATCCGAACAAACAAATGGTCGTAGTTTAAATTAATGTTTTCTAAGATCAAAGAAAATTGCAATACAAATTTGTTTTTTACACTTCCGTTTTATCGTAGATAGCACAACTTTATCTTTACGTTTAAGCACTGTTTTATTCATTTCGGTTACTTTTAAGTCACTTTGCAATTTCGCAATGCAAGCTCTTAACGTGTTGTTATGTTTTACTCTAAATATCCCTCGGCTCTTCGAAATGGATATACAGTATTTTAGTGTTTATTAACTGTAATTTTTCATGCCTTTGTGTTGATGAAGAGGCGGTTTGCCTCGTAAATTGGATAATTATTTTTGCACGTAATGTCACTTTTACTTCTTTTTCGATTTCTATGTGCTGCGGTTCTAGCTTTTTTTAATGTGTTTTAACTTATTAATAAGACACTAAATAAAATTGTTATCAATTTGACGATTTTATATAAAATACTCTGTGTATTACAATGATGGAATTAATTTCATTAACACATTGGTTGTCAATATAGCAGGGTTTGGGATTGAAGAACTTCAGCGAGTCGCACTTAAAAAATAACCTATTGCTTTACACTTTCACATAGCTATGTAACTGCGCCAAATTAATAAAATGTATTTTGCATTGTAGTCTTTTTCGTTACATTTCATTTTCCTTATTTTGTAACTATTTTAACGTTGTTATTTACTCGTTCAACCAATTATATCGTCGTTTATATTAATGAAATATGGTCTCAGGTGTCCAAACAAGAGATTTGGGAGAATGATCCCGGATGTAAACTGAATTTGGATGCCAAAAACAACAACAAAAAACCCCAACAACAACAAGAAAACTGTTTTAAACTTCAACAAAACCACTTATGTTTAAACTATCCAGATGTATTTTGGTCAGTTTAAACATGACTCATCAAATTTGGTTCATATTGAGACGGAAATAGATCAAAGGAGTGCTCAGCTAAATATGAAAAAAGGGTCAGTAAACATACATTTGATATATATGTGGATTGGTCTCAATACGATCCATTTAAGCTGTCAATGCAAACAACATACAGTTTAAAACAAATAAACATCGTCACTTTGTGAGACATTTGCAGTCACACATGAAGGAAGGTTAAATGATTTATCTCCTTTCAGCTGTTATGTCAATAATGAGGGAGCCTAAAAATACTTAACGTCGAGTATGAACTTTTCCACGCCCGCGGTATTAAAGGAGAAGGGGAGTTAGATATCAAGTTGACAAAGCTTTGTGTTGTTTTGTTTAAATTACGGCGTTGTAAAACATCAAGATAGTTTACCTTCATTGCTGGTTACGTGATGTAGATTTTGCTGTAATGCAGGCAAAACATCTATGACATTGAAAACAATGACAGATAAAAATACCCCAAAAAAACTCAGATCAGCAATAAGAGGAGACACACACACAATAATAATAACAATAGAAGACCTCACGAATCCATACAAACAACCATAAGCCATACGAAAACAACTTAACAGTGGTCATTAATCCAGAGACAACCAAAAGAAATACTTTACCCAGGTGAATTAAATATCACCTTAAGTAAGTTTTAAGTATAATGATTTGTATTGTTTTATTTCTATTTTATTTCTATTTATTGTATAGCAGCAATCACTATGGACCACCGATTCATAATGTGTATAGTGGCCACAGGTACACTTCACATGTAGCACATGTAACTCCACTATAGTATATATATATAGAATTACCTACATTGGTTCTGTGTGTGTGTGTGTGCAAGGTCATGTGACTGAGTTGTCTTTGTGTTGTTCCTGTACATGTACTGTCCATGTCTTGTCCACATGTATCTGTAGGTAATGTGCAACACTGACATGACCTTTGACTGGACGACCCGACATTTTATTGGTCGGTACTTTTTGGAGGGAATTTCCTATGTAAGAACTTTCCACCCAACTACAAGAAGGGGCCTTTTGAGAGGACTAGTTGTCCTATTCTAGGTCTGGATACTATTGGAAAAGAATATCATTTAGAATGGTAAATGTTATATTTTTATATATTTCATAAACTCTCTGATATCGATATATTAGTTATAAAATGTAAAGGTTTAATTTATTACTAATCTAGGATTTTTGGTAAATGATATAATTGAAATACCCAGAGTAACTCAGAATTAGGATGAGTGATTTCTTTGTAATGCATCTTTTTAAGAATACTATATTATTTTACTTTTTTGTTTAGATTAAATACTTTCCATGGTTAAAATTTATTGTTCTGAAATATGGTTAAAATATGGATGAAACCTAAACTCTCAGTTTTTGTTAAGACAAAATCCATAGATGCTAATATAGTTATCTGACATAGTTTCTTCATTTGATATTACAGTAAAGGATCAGACCGCATATTTTCATGCGTACATAGATTGGACTGATTCAATATAAAAGGATCAGCACTTGACCCTCTACCCATAGTTGGGGTAAGCAGTATTTTATCTATTGTTTTAACAAATGTAAAATTGTTATAGATGTATCCTAGTCAGATTATTTGTCTTGACATTATTCTGTTTTCTGTTTATCCATTATCTAGTATAGATGAATATTGTTATTATAAGTAAGCAAGAGGATTATCTCCCCTTGTTGCATTCTATGTATTGTGTGAACAATAGGAAAAGTCAAATAGTAAACTTTTTTTCAAAGTCATCATGATTGTAGATGTATGTATAGAGAGAGATGAATAGATTTGATTAAATTAGATAAATAGGATAGGTATACTGTTTATGTGGATTTTATATGATTTATATAGTTGTGACCTATTATAGCTAATGTATGTATACATATTATATAGGGTACACATTGTGATACTAGTAAAGTGATATGTATGTAACTATGTTATTTATGGGTGTGTAAATTTGTGTTGCAGGGTAAACACCATCTATATCTTTTAACAGCATTCATACAAGCTGGTATCTGTTTGTGTGCAATATCTATACTAAATACTGTCATCACCATATCGGAGACAATACATGCTCGAACCCGACCCGGTTATTCAAGGACCCAACCCGGTTACAATACGACAACAAAATAATAGACATTCTTATTCAACACAAACAAAAGGAGATACGAAAAGGAAGTAATGGATATCATTATTCCACAAACAACTACTAGAGATATGCTTACAAAATAATAGACATCATTAGTCCACAAACAACCACTAGAGATATGATAACAACATAATAGACTTCATTAGTCCACAAACAACCACTAGAGATATGATAACAAAATAATAGACATCATTAGTCCACAAACAACCACTAGAGATATGCTAACAACATAATAGACATCATTAGTCCACAAACAACCACTACAGATATGCTAACAACATAATAGACATCATTAGTCCACAAACAGCTACTAGAGATATGCTAACAAAATAATAGACATCATTATTCCACAAACAGCTACTAGAGATATGATAACAAAATAATAGACATCATTATTCCACAAACAGCTACTAGAGATATAATAACAAAATAATAACAACTCGTTAAGGAAAAGAATAATTGCTCTTTTCCTGCTCTCAAATCTCTGTGACTACCGCCTTGCTTAAGATGCAAGAGGCCCCTTACTAGTGGTTAAGGCATCTGGCATTCTGCTACCACTAGCCCTCCACCACTTGGTCGCGGGTTCGAGACTTACGTGAGGCAGTCTGACCATAGGTCGGTGGTTTTTCTCCAGGAACTCCGGCTTTCCTCCACCACCAAAACCTGACACGTCCTTAAATGACCATAGCTGTTAATGTGACGTAAAACACAAACAAACCAAATCGATCTCGACATCGAATTTCGACCCTAAAGAAGAGAAAAGATTATATCATATAAGCTGTTTCTGTTGGTTTCTCGTTGAAAGAAAAGTCACTTCTAAACATAGAAACATATAGGAATTGAACGGCGTTTTTTTTTTCATGTCGGTATGAACGCAAATCGGTTACATCCATATTAAACAGGAAGCTCCGCTGAAAAACGCCGTTCAATCCATATACTTACATTTTTACTATAAAACATTTTGTTCGTTTTTGAATAATTTATCTATATCACATTTGCTCAGCATTGCCACTATAAAACAATACCAAGGCAAGTTCCGTGTTATGAGACCATACTACAGGCGTAGTGATATCTCCACGGGACCGACTACCTACCGGATAGCTATTCCCATCCGCACTAGCAAGCGGATAAGCAAAAAACCTCATTCTGATTCAATAATAATTACCGTTGTATGTAAGACTATTATAAAATGTGAATTAAATATCTATTGATTGATTAAATTATGGAAAAAGTATCGATATTTTTGTGTTTATTTCCACGAACTATATTCTTTTTTGTGAACTTAGAAATGAAAATTAAAAAATAAATAAAATGTAATTATAAGCATAAAACAGTATTCTGTTCCGTGTTATGGTCCGATATCACGGAACAGGATTGCAGACAAATAATCATTATGCGCGAACGCGCGTTATTCATTTTGTCTGCAATCCTGTTCCGTGTTATAGAACAGCCCATTGCCCACGGTAAGTTTTCTCGTGCTATACATTTTTTCATTGGTGTATATTTGCTTGTTAAAAGCTAAAATGTGATGTA